CACACACACAGTCACCCATACACAAAGTGGGCTGCATACACACACACACCCAAGCCAGACTACGCAGTTTAACACAATGTATATACAGTATATTTTCAGTGTATCTTGAGCTTATATAAACCTTCAATATAACACAAAATAAATGTTTTAAACAAAGTTTTTATGTGTGACAGAACATAGAGCAATTTACAGCAGATATTCACAAACAGAGAGCTCTCACAGTGCGCACACACAGACAGACAGACAGACAGAGACAGAGACAGCCACAGGCTGTAAGGAAGGAATAAGTTTTATACTCACCTCAACAGTAACCGGTCTGAAAACATAAAACAACAACAAACAACAACAAGATACATTCTCCCTCCTCTGTCCCTAACTTCCAACACACATTTATTTACATCAAGTTATTTACATCAGTATTAGTAATGATGTTAGTGTTAGTAATTGCCGTAGGCTTTTCCCAGTCACCTGTCAGGATAAAATCAAATTATTTGGTTCCCCTTCACAAATTCTTTAAGGACAGTCAAAATGGGAGCATTAAGCTTAAAACTTAAAAGTCACCCATCTTACTCCTACCTACGTAGACAACGCCAAAGTTTGTCGTGGCAAGAGTGAGATACCAACTAAATTAATTCAGACAAACCATTACAATTTAAAGGATCATTTAATATTACAATTATTCTGAGTAGAGTAGTATTTAAACAGATAATCTTATAGTTAGGGAACAGAGAACAGAGGACAGAGACTCTCCTCCTGCAATGAAATAGATAAAGCCTAAATTGGTCGGAGCACCAGTCAGTCAGGTCAGGTCCTTTGTTACCAGTCCTGGGTCAGTCAGCCCCAGTCAGTCTTCTTCTCCCCAGCCGGCTGGGTCTCTAAAAGGTACCTCGTCCACCGTTTACTGCAGCATGGTCATCTCCTCTCTATCCCTGGCTCCCTCAGGCTCACTTCTCTTTTTCAGCTCAGCCACTAGCTACTTCTCAACAGCTGGACTCTGTCCCCCTTGACGTCTCTGCAACCCCCCTTCTCACTCCATTTTAGGAAGACAGGAAGGTTGACTCCCAATCTTCTGGCGCAGAGGGTTCATCTCTGACCATACTAGGCCTTAACTAGGATTCTAAGTATTAATTATATAACCACTTACATAAGCCCATTGTCCACCTCACATGAACTTAATAAACCCATAATCACTCAGCTCTCCCTTACACGAGCTAGTACCAAATAAGGTCTATATTAAGCTACATACTGTTCCATTACATATTTCCTCTGGAATAGGGTTTATTTTTTTTCACCACTACATGGCCATCTTCAGTGCCACGGCCACCCTCTGGGACTGCCTCTCCTGCGGGCTTCTGCCAGCTGCTACAGGTGTCCTCCCAACTGGCTGCCTCATCAGCTTCCTGTCTGACATTGTAGACAGGTGAGCACGCGCCCAGTAGAGATGAGCTGAGGGTCCATGCAAGATGCTACACACTGCACATGATACACTTTTGCTCTGTGCCACTGTGTGCATGACATGAATCATCGTTCTGTAAATATGACTGGCACAGAATTGGATATCTCAGACTGATCAGCTGGCCACCGGTCACGACTGATCAAGCTAAAAACCAGCCAATTCTGATCTCCAGCTGATCATGTCTAGCCTCCAGGATCCACCAAGTTCTGAAAGCATGGCTGTGTGACAGTTCAATTCAGTTCAAATCAATTTTATTTGTCAAAAAAAAACTTTATAACAAAAGTCATCTTGGGGCACTTTACAAAGTAAGGTTTACACCTTACTACTATTATTATTGTTATATAGGCAAAACCTGACAAACCGACAATGGGGAGGAAAAACTCCCTTTAAAAGAAGAGACATTAATTGTTCTGATGCCATGAAATATTAGAAGACATACAGTATCACAACATGCTGAGTACATTTCTACCCTCCCTCACTGTCCTACTAGGATTATATTAATAAAAACAACAATATTATATTAAGCTAAGTATGAGCTTTATCAAAAAGGAAAGTCTTAAGTCTACTCTTAAAGGTAGAGAGGGTGTCCGCCTCCCGAACTGAGACTGGGAGCTGGTTCCATAGGAGAGGAGCTTGATAGCTAAAGGCTCTGCCTCCCATTCTACTTCTGTGGACTCTAGGAACCACAAGTAAACCTGCACTCTGAGAGCCAAGTGCTCTTTTAGGATGATAAGGCTCTACGAGGTCTTTAAGATATGATGGAGCCTTGTTATTAAGGGCTTTGTATGTTAGGAGAAGCATTTAAAAATCCATTCTGGATTTTACAGGGAGCCAGTGGAGAAAAGCTAATATGCTATTTCCTGTCAGTATTCTGGCTGCAGCATTTTGCAGCAATCTGTCCTGAATGCTATTCTTCCTCCATAAGCTGAACTCTTCAACCAAACTAAAATGTTGTGCCTGTTTAACACACTGCTATATCACAATGAAGACTTGGTTACATATTTAACAGAAAACTACTTTCTCAATTGTCTTAATTAAGGATATGTTTTAAACCAGCCTGTTCTTATTAAATATTGAAGTCCAGGTTTGTGTTTTTCAAGAGGGGCCTGACAGCAATTTCTAATGATCATGTTGCCATCTGATGGGGTACTGAAACATAGGTCAGGTCACAAGCCCCAGTAAAACAGTTCTACCAGCAACCATGGATTCATGCTTCCAGAGTTTGATCAAGTTGTTTACATGTCATTCACTGTTGGTGGAAAGGTTAATGAGATCCATGGAGGCTGAAGCAGTCTGATAAAAACATTTCACAGGCTCAGACAGTTCTTTTTCTGAGTTTTGGAGATGAGCAAACAATAGGTGCATTTCAAGGTCAAGTAACTGTTAATAAGGCAATCCAATACAGAAGCTACAAACTGCAGCCTTCAAGGTGAAAAGTTTTCTCTTTGTTTTAATTCATATATCCCTGTTATATAATCTCCTTGTTTCAATATTCAAATATTTTTGACTTTCTTAATGGATGAAGAATTAAATGTAACATATATAACTTTTGGTGGTCATGTGGAGCTTCACAAATACAGATACCTTTATTTTACATTTGTTTTTACAGTATATATTCTAATAATCTGCAGTAATTCTACAATTGTGTATCTGATCTGGAACCACCAAGACCTCCATGAGCCTATGTACATTTTCATTGGAGCCTTGTTACTGAATTCTGTTCTTTTCACCACTAATATCTATCCGAAACTGTTGATTGACTTTTTATCTGAAAAACAGATCATATCTCATCGAGCCTGTCTTGTTCAATTTTAGCGCCCTGTTGTTCAATTTTATATGTTTTATACTTTAGCTTATTCAGAGTTCTTACTGTTGGCAGCCATGGCCTATGACAGATATGTGTCTATATGTAAACCTCTGCAATATCCGGCCATCATGACAGAAAAAGCTGTTTTTCTCTTTCTGGCTTTATCTTGGTTGATACCTGCATGTCATCATGTGGGATTAGTAATATTGATTGCTAATCAAAAGCTCTGTAGCTTTACTTTGAAAGTAATTTTTTGCAATAACTCAATTTACAAACTTTTTTGTGTGCCTTCAAGAGAAATATCTCTATATGGTGTGTTCTGTTTTGTACATCCTGTTGTGTTTCCTGTGGTCTTCATACTTTTCACATACACCAGGATACTTATAATATGTTATCACAGTAGTGGAGAAGTCAGGAGAAAAGCTGCACAGACCTGTGTTCCTCACCTGCTGGTGTTGGTCAACTATTTTATTCTAATATTATATGGTCTTATTACAGCTCGAATTGAATCAGATATTCCAATCACAGCACATTTTGTAATGACTTTACAAATAGTTTTGTATAACCCTCTTTTTAATCCAATTATATATGGACTGAAAATGACAGAAATATATAGACATCTCAAGAGATTGTTTTGTCAAGATAAAATGAACTAATGATATTTATACTGATAACTTCTTCTATAATTACAATGTAGACATTTGAATTGTCTGATCCCTGGAGATTGTTTGTTGTCAGGACTTGTTCTGACTCCTAACACATTAACGAGCATTGTCAAGCTTCAAAACTGTGATGACATATCACTTTTCTGCCATTACTCCAGAATTCCTCATTTAGTTAATGAAAGTCACACAATTCATTCTGAATGTTTCATTTGGCCTTAAATAAGTTGACCCATCTTGAATCCTAGTAATGATATACAGCTCAGGCAGCAAACTCACATGGAATGGATGTCAGTGTCAGTGTCAGTGTAGAATATGTGCAGCAGTAATGTTTGGTTTCTTGGCTCTGTTGTCATCACAATCCCACAAGGAAACATCAAGGTCCACTCAGTAGAGAGTGGGGAGAGACATGGCACCAGATTTTCCAAAAACTTCACAATTAATAATGACTTTATTAGCTTTTTGTGGTCCTCTTTTTAATCAGACTGTACATGGGTGTCAAAAGAATTTCAAAGATGGCAACAAAGTCACTGGAATGGTAATAGCCGTAACCTCTATCTTGCAGCAAGGAGACAAGTCAGCATGAGCATACAGAGTTGTCTGAATGAGCTTAGTCTAAACATCACAATATATAGGAGAAAGGGAACTCCCTAAAGACGTAACCCAGGCGTTAAGTTGTAAAGTAGATTTAAACAACAAAATAGAACTTGAGAGGCTTTGCCCTGATAACCCCTCAGACACTAAATAAGCTGTTGCGCCTCTTTATCTTCACAGTATATGGCAGGCACAGTTTATGGCTGGCTCCTATAAGCCTGGAATGCCATTTGGTTGAACATATAACAACACAGAGTACTAAAACAAAGATAAAGAACATGCCCTTCAGTTCACACAAGCAGTTTCTCACAGGTCTCTGTTCTGAAAGATTAAAATGCATTGAATAACATATGTTGGTTAATATATTGATTAAAACAGTTTAAAACATATTTAATAATGTAATTTTCATGACATTTCCCTCCTGATTAACCTTTTAGAATCACTTTATTAACAACATAATTCTTAATCTTGTTCATCCCAGGATCTCATTGTTTAAATTCTCCCTTTTAGGTTTTCATTAAAACAAGTCATACATGGTTCACTCAGATTAGAATCGGGAAAGTCTCTTTTCAAACCCAATCGTCCGGTTCGTGGTGATCTTCTTCTTCTTCTCCTCCTTCTCCTTCCTTGTCACGGATCTGTTGTTACACTGTCTTAGTCAGAGCAGTGTCTATCAGACCCACCATCAGTCCTCGCAGGCAGGGCATGCAGCAGCAGCCACACACGACCAGCAGGGCTGCAGCTGCGGACAGAGAGATCAACCCAGAAGCAATCAGGCCACTCCACTTTCTGAACCAGGACTCCAGGAGGTTAGTGAAGAGGTTGTTGATGCCAGAATTCACAGCCGGCTCCTTGGATAGGGCTTTCAGTCCTTCAAGGGCCTTGGTGATGCTGCCGTCTGGGGAAGTGTTGTTAGGTATAAAAGTACAACAAAATGTGCCAAACATCTTACATACTCCTACCAGGGGAGCTAGCCAGTACCTTGTGGCTGTTTTTGGAGCAGTATTTGTGGAGGTACTAGCCAGCACATTTTGCCCGTCTATGGAGCGCTATTTCTGGGGTGGGTGACAGCAAAACGCAGGGACTCTAGTAGAGGTGTACAGAAAATTTTCTGACCTGTGGCCCTGGTACTCCGTTTTGGAACTTTGAAAATATTCTGACTCCTGTGGTCCTGGTACTACAGGTTGGAACTTTGAAAATATTCTGACTCTCGTGGCCCTGGTAGTCTGTGTTGGAACATATCTTAAAGTTGCTGCAGTTAAAAAGCTTGTAGTTGGCTCTCGGGATCGAGCTGACGGTCCGCTGTGAGGTGACCTACCATCTGTCTGAGCCCCTGCCTCTCGGCACCCCCTCAATGCTCTTAGCTGAGTGACCCGTGGGGTCCGAAGCGTTTACTTTGAAAAAATTAGAATGTTCAAAACGAGCCCATTCACCCCCGCTGGGCAGATTTCCTCTGTTGGCGGTGCGCCGCAACCGGCTCTGGGTCGGCCTGGAAGGACTCGGGGGTGAAGGTGGCCCACGGCTCCGGCTATGTGCTTTACAGCGCCCTCCCGCCCAGACCTTGCCGCTTCCTGGGGCTGTGGACTCAGTGCTCGCTGCGCCCTCTCTCCCCCGCACCCCCTTGCCGTGGTGTGCCTGGGAGGGATGGGGCCCCTCGCTCCTGGCACAACTGCTGACCGGGGTGAGGAGCCAGTGGTGCGAAGCAACCATCTGTGGGGTTATGACTGAATGCCTCTTAGTCAGAATCCCACCTAGATGTAACGATTCCGTAGCGCTGCAGATCTTCGGTTGGCCGGTGAGCAGAGCTGTTCGTGACAGGGCTGGGGCGCGGCCAGATGATGGTTGCCCCTCTCCTATCTCGCACCGCATGTTTGTGGAGAACCTGGTGCTAAATCACTTGCAGATGACCTGATTCTGGCTCAGGGTTTCATACGTAGCAGAGCAGCTCCCTCACTGCAATCAATTGAAAGTCGGCCCTTGATCCAAGCCTTTGTTAGCTGCGGGCGCAGGCCCCTTTGGCTACCCCTCCCTGGGCCCCCCCCTCCCAGACTTCCAGGGCCGCAGCACAGAAAAAGAAAAAGAAAAGAGCAAAGTCCTAAGACCAGGGCCACAGAACTCTATTCGGAGTACCAGGGGCATGAGGTTCTGGGCAGGTGGCTTTGAGGAGTGTAGCCGGGGGGAGGGTGCTTAAGATCAGGTATGTGGGTACGACCGGTGCGCAGGGTCTGTCGAGGAGTGGAGCAGCAGGAGCCCAGACTGGCATTGGGTGAGGTGAGACTTGGGCTCGGGCTGTCGGGGGCCCCAGGCCTGGTGAAGCTGGGGTAAAGGTGTGCGTGAAATGAAAGTTTGCCACACCTGATGTTTATACTTTTTCATGAATATGTCTGCTCAATTGCTCTTAATTGCATTGAATCAGCTTACACATATGGCATACATATAGAGGTCACTGCAACGAAGAACCTGCTTACACTATTGATCTATTGGTTTCAGAGGAAACAAAAATTTTCATAAAATTTTTTGGCCAATGTAACGGAACACACTTCTCAAATGATGATCTACATCTGGTTGAACAGATGTTTGGGATAAAACAAGTTTGGAGCTGTCTATCATGCAGCCTCTCAAGGGCTTGTTGAACGTGCAAACAGAACTATAAAAGAAGGGCTCGCGAAAGTCTGCACAGACACTAACTTAACCTGGGTTGAAGTTCTGCCTATTGTACTGTTCAACCTCAGGTCCACTCCGAATGCAACACTTAATGTAAGCCCACATGAAATCCTGACAGGGAGAAAGATGCCCTGTCCTCTAACTTTTCAAAGGTCAAAGTGTTTATTTGTCATATGCACAGTTAGGAAATGTATTTCCCTATAACTGTTATGCCTAGAGATTCAACACCTCTTCTTTTACAGCATGTTGAAATGAGTGAGTATGTCAGACGATTAAACAACGCTGTGATGAGTGTTTTTGAGCAGGTTATTGAAATTCTGATCAGGGACCAACCTGAGGAACCAACACCAGTTGCAGTGGACAGCTGGGTCTATCGAAAGGTGCATAAACTTCACTGGTCAGAACCACGTTGTAAAGGACCTTATAAGGTAGGAGAAACTACCACACACTGTGTTAAACTGTGGCTCACTGAGAACAAGCTAAGTAACTGGATCCATAAGAGACATTGTTCTTCAGCTGAGGATCCAGCTGGATGGACAGTGAATGAGGGCAAGGCTGATTTGAGAACCTCAGTACCTGAGTTGACATACAATCCTGTAGAACCAGAGCTACAGTTAGAAGAGGACCTGCAATATTTATCAGAGAACAAAAACATTGACAGGGACAGCAGACAAAATGCCTAGTCTGGCAAGTTTAGGCAGTCGTCCTGGTGTAGTTCTCTGTGTTCTGGGCCTCATTAGTCTAGTTATAGTGGTACCCATATTGTGGTGGGAAACAAGGTCCTATATACACCATGAGAAAAGAGCTAATGTTCTGATTCCACCCGAGTTGGTTTTTTGATTTTGGAAAACTTCCACTTGAATGATAGATGCATGTGACATTCTTGACTGCAATTAAGACACATTGATAAATACATTTGTATACTGTCCTATATCCATTTTAATGTTCAGAATCTTACTAAAGTTCAGGGATAGGTAGTCCTCTGACAATGCGGTTCACGCGGCCGTAAGGGCAAAGCGTATCGGCCTGGTAGAGGAGCAGATGAAAACAGACTGGACCGCGTTGACCCAAATTGCCTCCGATTACGGTCGAAAGAGATACGGCGATGACGGAAACGCCGAAATGGTCTCGGCGTGCGAAGAGTTGTTCAAACATCAGACCCTGGACAATGCGGCCAAAGCCCAGAAGATGTGGCACGCCGTGGTCAAACACGATACGAGCAAGATCAAGGAGAAGGAGTTGGTAAAGATGTATGCCATCGCCGTTGTCGTGGAACAACCTCGAGCGGTGGTCCAGTTGATCTACGCTAGGAATCCCAGCGAGCGCTGAGTTGTTGACAGTCACCCTCGTCAAACCCCGAGTGCAATCCAGTGTCGTCACCTCGACCCTACATGATCCGAATATCTTTTTGGCTCTCATCCTCAGCACTATGTTCCTAACCAACGTGTGCAGCTTGGTGTCACCCACACCCTCTGCCCTCTGAAAGCCTGAAAGTCGTCGGCCACTATAATGTCGGTCGGCCGCAA